ATTTTATTATTAACTAATTAAGAATTATTTATTATATATAATCTTTAAAAGACGACTTTAATATTTAATAGTATAAATATTATTAAATCTATAATTTAAAAAATATATAACTTTTAAATTCTTTAAATAATTCTTACTTAATTTAATAGTAAATTTAATAAATCGCTATTTTCTTATATATGAAAAGTAAAAGAAAGCTAAATAACGCTTCGATTAGAAGATATTTATTTTTAAGATTTATTTAAAGAAGCTAGAGATTTATATAATCTTATTTTCTAAAAAATATTAAGCTAATTTCTTCTTAACTAAACTTAAATTAAAGCTTAAAAATAAGATTTTAAATATTAATAATATATTAAAATAATAAAAAGAAATTTTTATCTAGATTATTATATAGAAAAAGATTTTAAAATATATACGCTTCGGCGATAATTCTTATTCGAAATCTTTAAGAGAGTTCGCTAAAAATAAATCTCTAGAGAATTAAATTTTAAAGTCTAAATTAATTTTAAATAATAGCGCTTATATAGTATATACTTAAGATAATAATATAAAGTATAAAGTTAAATTCTTTAATTCTAATTATAAAAAGAATAATTATTTTTATTATAATAAATAGAGTTATTAAATATCTAAGTATCTAGATTTTAATAAATTACTTATAATCTATATTAATATAGTATTAATAAAAAAAGATTTAATCTTATAATTATTTTAGAAGTAAGATAAAAATAATAATTAATAGAGATAATTTCTTTTATTTTTATAAAGAAGTAGATAAAGCTTTAGAGTAAATAGAGATAACTCGTTACTTTACTCGATATTAAAGCGTATATTAATTTAATTTTATAAAAATTTATAATTTAATAAGATTTAAAATCTTATAATATTATTTTATTATAATTAAAAATATTAAGTAATTAAAATATATATTATTATAGCGTATATTAGCTAGATTACTAATTAGTAGATAATTAAAATTAAAATAAAAAGTATAATATACTCTTCTATATTATTAATTAAAAAGGCTTTAATATTATATTAAATATACTTAAATTAAATTAATTATAAATATTATTAAATTTAATAATAAAGTAATAATAATTTAAAGTTAACGCTAATAAATTATAAATTAAAAAATTTATTAAATTTATTTAAATTATCGAATAGAAGTTAAATATATTTATAATTATATACGCTATAATAATATATAATAAATCGAAAAATAAATATAATTTAAAGCTTTCTTAGAAGTTATTAGAGTTTAATAATATTTTTTTTAATAAAAAAGTAGAAATCTTATTTACGCTTAAGTAGAGAGATTATATTATTAAGATTAAGAGCGATAAGAAACTATTATATAGTTTCTTATATAATCTATCTTAAATAAAGTTAATAAAACTATAATATTATTTAAAGAATTTCCTTTAGAAAGATTAGATTTATTATTCGACTTTCTTAATTAAAGTATTAATTCTTTTTATTCTTAAAAAGAATAGAGGGCTTTATTTTTATATTAATTATCGAGATTTAAACGCGATAACTATTAAAAATTAATACCCGCTATTTTTAATTATTAAGACTCTAAATCGCTTATATAGCGTTAAAGTCTTTATAAAGTTAGATTTTAAAAATATCTATTATTAAATTTAAATTAAAGAAGATAATAAGTGGAAAATAGCGTTTTATAATTATTATAACTACTTCGAATATTTAATTATATCTTTTAGACTTATTAATATATTAATAACTTTTTAAATATATATTAATAAAGCTTTTATAGATCTAGTAGATATAATATATATAATATATTTAAATAATATTCTAATTTATAGTATTAATTTAATAGAGTATTAATAATATATTAAATAAGTACTTAAGCGTTTACGCTAGTTTTAACTATACGCTAATCTAAAGAAATATTAATTCTATATTAAGCGAGTTAAATTTCTAAAGTTTATTATATTTATCGAAGATATCGCGATAAATTAAAAATATATTACTATTATTAAAAAGTAATTAAAATTAAAAAATTATCGAAATATATAAGTCTTTTTAGACTTTACTAATTTTTATTAATAATTTATTTATAGCTATTTTAGTATAATAGCGTTATTTATTAATTTACTTAAAGAAAATAAGAATAATAAGAAATTTAGATTATTAGAATAAATAGATAACGCGGAGTTAGCGTTTTAATAGCTTCGAAATACTTTTATAATCGCGTTATTTCTATATTACTATAATTTAAATTTAAAGTTATATCTTAAAATTAACGCTTTTAACTTTAATATAAAAGCTATACTTTTATAATTAAATAAGAATAATTATTAATAATTAATAATATTCTAATTTAGAAAAATAATTTCTACGAAGTAAAATTATAAGATTTATAATTAAGAGCTACTTATTATTATAATATTTATAAAATAATAGCGTTATTATTTAAAAGATAATATATTTTATATTAAGATTTTAATAAATTATAATAATTTTAAAAGCTTTATAAAATAGAAGAAATTAAATTTTAAATAAGCTCGTTAGGCGCTAAAGTTAGCTATTTATAACTTTAAAATTTTTTATCGAATAAATAAATTAAACTCTATTAATTTATTATTATAACGCTTTAATTATAAGAGAATTTCATTATTAAATATTAAACTTTTATCGATATTATAAAATAAGCTTATATTTTAAATTAGTAATAAGTAATTATAAAGAAATAAAAAGCTTATAGCGGCTATAGCGCTTATATTTTATATTATTAACGTTTAAATAATTATTTTTAAAAGAGAATTTAAGATTATATAAGAGATTATTTATAATATATTTTAAAGACTAATAAAAATATTAATTTAAGATTTATAAGCTTATAATAATTAGATAAACTCTTTTCGAATTAATATTAATAAATTAATAATTAAATATCATATATATAGCTAAATATAAATCTTAGACTTTAAGAGATTATTAAGATATAATAATCGCCTTTATATCTCTAGAGATAAGATCTTAAGAAAAGAGCTTATTAATAAATATTATAATAATTCGTTATTAGAATACTCTAACGCTATAAAGATATATAAACTATTTACTTATAAATACTATTAAAATAAAAATTTAAAGTAAATTTACTAGTCGGAAAGATATGGTATATTTTATAAGATATCCCATACCAAGTAATACTATATCGTACCCGAGTATGATATAAGTAGGGTCGGATATTATTTCATTTTTCTGATATAGGTTCGAGATCTTAACGGGATATCCCACGGTATGATATATCTATGATATCATATCATAGTATAATATATGTATGAAATATCCCGGTTGGGATTTCTATATTTAGAAGTATAAGTAGCTATTCTAGTCATTATTCTGGTCAACCATAACTGCTACTATCATGGCTGCCACTATCATAGCTGCCACTACCATAGCTATTACTATCATCGCTATTACTACCATGACTACTACTATCATGACTACGATAGTGATAGTCATAGTAGTGGTAGCTGTTAAAATGCCAGATATGTGATATATAGAACGGACGGATTAATTCTCTAAAACCTCTCCGGGGCCAGGTTCTAAATACAGTACAAAATCAGGTGGCTGGAAAACACGGTGGCTGGGATGCGCGGGGGCCACATTTCGACAGTAGCCATGGTAGTGGTAGCCATGGTAGTGGCAGCCATGATAGTGACAGCCATGGTACGGGCAGCCATGGTACGGGCAGCCATGGTAGTGGCAGCCATGGTAGGGGCAGCCATAGTAGTGGCAGCCATGGTTGACCAGAATGATGACTAGAATAGCTACTTATACTTCTAAATATAGAAATCCCAGTCGGGATATCCCATACATATACCATACCATGGTATGATACCACAGATATACCATACCGTGGGATATCCCGCCAAGATCCCATACCATACCAGGTATGGGATCATGCAAATCTCAATAACCCATACCATACCAGAGTATGGTATGGCAGGTCAATATCCCATACCATACCATACCTTTCCGGCCAGTAAACTGTAAATTATCGACTATATTAAGATATATAATATTTATTAGCGAATTAAAGCTTCGCGATATCGCCTATATAGCGAATTAAGCTCGCTTCTTATCGCTATTAAATTATAAAAGAAAATTTCTATAAACTTTATTATCGACTTATTAATAAGTAAGTATAAGAGTATTATTTATAATACTATTCTAATTATAGTAAATCGATTTATAAAAATAATAAGATATATTTCTATATTTATTATAATCGATATTATTTAATTAATAAAAGTATTTTATTTCGAAATAGTATATTACTATAATATATTAAATAATATTATTAATAATAGAGGTTTTATATTTATTAATAGCTTCTAATTTATTATTTACTTTTATTTTAAAATTAAATAATATCTAAATGTTATTTTTTATTTATAAATTAATAAATAGATTAAGCGATAAAATTAGATATTAGAATACTTCTTATATATATTTACTAATAATAAATAAAATATTTAAATAAAATAACTATTAATAATAGAGTTCGCTTATATAAATAATTAATATTTCTTTATTAAAACGATATTATTCTTTCTAATATATAAATATTATTCTAAAATTCGTTAAAAGATCGAAGATAACTTTATTAAGGGGGAGATATTCGCTATAAATAATAGAGTAAAGAAGTTATAAATATTAAGAGATAAGATAGTAGAGTATCTTTATAGCGCGATTATAATTTAATTTAAGTATTATAATAAAATATATTAATTTTAAAATTATAAGATAGATAATTTAATAATATTAGCGATTAAGAATTTAAATGTTAAGGAATCATTATGGTTTAACTCATATATGTGTGTGGTGTAAAAGATGTTTATTATCTATGTGCCTGCGGGACAGATATGTGCGGTGCCAAGCCTACGCTAGTGGCCCTATGAGTATCCCTGAGGCATCTCATGACAATTGCCCACAAAAAACAGAGAAATGCCATGTCCTCATGGCAAGAAGCATGCATGCATGCATGAATGAGTTTTCGAAATGCTGGAAAGGAATGGAGACACCAGGCCAATTAGTGGTGTGAATCCCATAAGTTCTCCTGCCGCAATGAAAGCCTTTGGATAATGAAATGACTGTCGGAGCAAGACATCGGACGGTTTCAATTCGTCCAAATATGCATCGTCCGATGTGACCCTTGCCTGCAGAGGTCCAATTGGCTGTGATCGACGCAGTAGATCCTTCTCTTGTGTGCTCATTGCAGTGATGTGCCACACTAATGTGATATTGCCTAGGCATGCAGAGATAGCAAGCCAGATTGTAGTGGTATTCTCCATTTGCTGAGTGATGACTTGACGCGGGATCGTGGAGAGTAAGCCTGCGTTCTTGGTGCTGGGGGCCTTGCTGCCGCTTGATTTCTCCGCCGTGTTCTCCGCAGTCTTCTCCGCAGTCTTCTCCGCATTTGCCTGTTGTAGTTCCTCCTCTTGCTCAACTGAGTGCTCTGGCTGAGTGGCTGACTGAGTGGATGACTGAGTGGATGACTGAGTGGATTGGTGAGCTGGCTGAGTGGCTGGCTGAGTGACTGGCTGAGTGACTGGCTGAATGGCTGGCTGAGTGACTGGCTGAATGGCTTGTAAGGCCTCAAGTCTAGCCCATTCTTGACGTATGTAGGCCGCTCGGTCTTGAAGGATTTTGGCTTGCGGTAGAAAGAATTGAGGGTCTGATTTGCTAGCCAATTGGATGCACTCTTGAGCCTTGACGTCGTACTCCCATGGGTAGCATTCTCTTGTATGCCAGGGGCCGTAGTACTCGGTGCGGTACTGCTCATGTAGGATCTGCAGGAATTCTTGCATTGTGATATCGACAGGCCTATTAAAAGGATCGATTTGGACGGGTTTTTGTCAAAAGGTACTCGATGACGCGAGTGTATTGGAGGACCGGCTTGGAGCGTTACACTATTAGGTGTTGATGTAGGCTTTGCGTAAACGTCTGATGTGACGCCTGGATATCCTATGAAGTAGGGCCAGGTGTTGCTACCAATTGTTAAGGAATCATTATGGTTTAACTCATATATGTGTGTGGTGTAAAAGATGTTTATTATCTATGTGCCTGCGGGACAGATATGTGCGGTGCCAAGCCTACGCTAGTGGCCCTATGAGTATCCCTGAGGCATCTCATAACATTAAAGTAGAAATATCTAAATAAAAAGTTATTTTATAAATTTATAGAATTATTTTAAATTATAAATAAAGTAGAGACGTAGATATATCGCTTACTTTTATTCTTAATATATAAAATTTATAATATCTTTTATATATTATTATTTAAGTTTTATTATTTTCGCGATTATAATAATATAGCGAAAATCTTTATATAAGTCCTCGATCTTATTAATAATAATAAGCTTTAAGAGATTAAAGAAATTATTAATAAGATTAAGTATAAGAAAGATATTTAATATAAAGTTAAATAAATTAATTAAGATAAAGAGTATAATTAATAATTATTAGATAATAAATTTATTAATATTAGCGAGTTAATTTAAGCTTATAAATAAGCGAGTAATAAGTAAAAGTATTAAGTAATAAATAATAAGTCTCTTATTATAAAAGAGCTTAATTAATTATATAAATTAATAATAAATAAGCGAAGACGATAAAATAAGATATAATTATTAATTAGATTAGATATATTTCTAGATAATACTTATACTACGCGCGTATTTCTCTATATTTATTATTATTAAAATATAGATTAATAAAATAATTATATTATTTAATTATCTATTAAGCTCTATTATAAAGAAGATTTATTATATTAAGATATATACTATTAATATAAATATATTTTTATTTAGAATAGTTATTAAAGAACTATCTAAGAATCTTACGCTAGCGCTATTATTAAAAAAAATTATTATTTAAATATTCTTTACTATTTTAACGTTAAATCTTAAATTAAGTTTATTAATTTAATTCTTTAACGAGGAGATAATTAAAGTATAATCTTCGAGTTAATATTTATTAATATTTATTATATATTAACGAAGGCTCTTAAGCTTTTTTTTTAATAATTTATTTATTCTCTTTAACTTCGCTATACGCTTATTTATTATTATAAACTAATTTTAAAGATTTATAATTATAATAAAAATAATCGAAGTTATCGCTATTATATATCTTTATAATTTATACTATTAAATAATCTTCTTATTAAACTTAACTCGTTAATAAGATAGCTTTCGAGATTATTTAGCGCGGCGATAGCGTTATATTAATTTTCTTATTTATATTTAAAGATATAAAGAGATTTTAATATAGTAATTAATATCGCGCTTTTTAATCTTATAGTTATTATAGATAAGAGATTTATCTTAAATATTACGAGCGTACTCTTAATATACCTCTTAGCCCTATGGCTAGCGGGCCTTAACGAAGGTATCCCCTACTATATTATACCTTCTTTTTATCTATATAGTTCGATACCTTAGTTATCTTATTTAATATATCTATATTAATATTATATCTATATCGATTCTAATACTATAATTAAAATTAACTTACTTATTTTATTTATATTAATAAACGAATTTAAAGAAACGCGCTAATAAGGGCTTTAATAAGAAATTAAGTTAAGTTATTATATCTCTAAATAAACTTATTAGATAGATAAATCGATTTTAAAGAGTCTAAAAGAAATAGTAAAACGGTCTCAATAAATAGTAATCGAGGAATAAAGAAGGTATTAAATTATTCGTATAACTAGCGAATCGAAAGAAATAGCTAATATTATCTTATATTTCTATATTTAAAATATATATTAATAGTATTACTTATAACTTTATATATTATAACGTCTAGAATTTTAATAAGACTTTAATTAGATAAGAAATAATCGAGTTATAGCTAATTAAAGATACTATTCTTCGAAACTTTCTTATATATAACTTTTTTATAAAATAAAAAACTCTTTAAGCGGAGTAAGTATACTCGAAAGATTATTATTTAAAATACTTATAATCTTCTTAACGCTTTAAACGATTAAGAAATAAGTATATTAAACCCTCGTAAAGAAATAATCTTATCTTAGACTTTATAGTGAAATTTTTTATTCTTAATATTAAATAATTTCGATACGCTTTAAAGAGGCTTTACTATTCTCTAGTATATCTAATATTCTTAATATCTATTCTTTTAAAGTATTTAAACTCCTCTTCACTTTATTTTAAACCTTTCTTTCTTCTTTCTTATAGCGAAGTTTAATATTAAAAGAATAGATTAAATTAAGACTCTATTAAAGTAAATTAAGTTTCGATAGATATTAATTCTATTAGATGATATCTTTAAGAAGATAGACTTAATAGATATATCTTAAAATATCGCTAATAGCTTATAATTATAATATTAAACTAAGTATTAATCTAATAAATTTATAATTATATTAAATGAAATTCGTTAAAAGCGAGACGATTTCCGCGAGATTATTACTCGATATTATATCGTCGTTATAAAAAAGAATCTAATTATAAACGATTTATATTAGATCTATAGAATAATTAAGAAGATAAATTAATTAGTCTAAGACTTCTAAAAGAATATAACTTCTTTATAGCGAAAAGTTAATAGCCTTAAAATATAATTAATAAAAGATTTATAGCTATTATCGATCGAGGAGAAACGTATATCTAGATATTTAAAAGAGAAATTAGTTAAGATTCTAGACTTACCTCTATTTATCGACGATAGTAATCTTATCTAAAATAACTAATTCTTTAGAATAGAATAGAAATTTAAGATTAATAGCGATTATTACCTTATTAAGAACTTTAAGATAATTTACGTAGTCTTATAACTCGGCGATAAGGCTATATAATATACGATATATAGAAGACTTCGAAACTCTATTAACTCGTATTAGTTTTTTACTAAGATTATAAACGAGTTAATCGATATTTATAAAAACTTAAATCGACGTAATAATATATTACATAATATGTATACTCTATAGTAAGGGATTTAATCCTTTATCGACTTCTATTTAGACTTTATTTAATTAGATACTATTCTTAGCTATAACGAAATTCTTATACTAGAGAACTATCTTTTTAAGAAACTAAGAAAGAAATTAAAGAAGATATAATAGATTATAGAAGGTTTTACTACTTTAAAGACTATAAAAGAATATCTTCGAAAGCTAGATAACTTATAACGTGCTAATTATAAGAATTTTAAGTCTATAAAGATTACTATTAAATTAATTATAATATAAATATTAACGATAGCACCCGCGGTTAATATACGCCTTATATCTATTATCGAATTTAATTTAAGTATAATTATTACGCCTTTAAATATTATAATCGATTTAAAATTAAGAAAATTAATATATTATAACTACGATAAGAAAGATTATTATTAAAAGAATTATATAATATCTACTTAAATCGAGATTGATAAAAAGGCCTTCGAGGAAGCACGATTTTACGCGATGAAAATAGATGAAGAATTTAAAATTAATAATATCGATATTACGGGTAGTAATAGTTCTTCTTCAAATTTAAAAAACGAATAATCTCTTTTAAAGTTACGATAAGAGGTACTTATAAAGTATATCTAGTAGATACTCTTAATAATATCTTAACACGTTATTCTTTTTATATATAAATTATACTATCTTTATAAGAAAGAAAGTACTTATTTAAGAACTCCCTTATAGATAGTAGATATATCGATATTTATATAGTTATAAATAAGTTCTTAATTCTAGCGATATATAAGGCCTTATATCTAAAATTACTCTTATTATTATAATCTAAATTACTAAGAGATTATAATAACTAGATTATAAAACGATTAATTATATACTATTTATTTTCTATAATAATAGTAAAAGATTATCGAGAAGAAATATATTTAATACTAATTATACTATTAAAATACGATATAATAATTAAAAAATTATAAATAAATAAATATAAGATAGTTCTTAATATATTATAGAATAAGATACTCTTTCTACTTAGTCGATATAATTATAATAATAATTAAATATTAATAATAGATAATCTCCCCTTTCTATTAACTTCGAAGCTCCGACTATCTATATTACTTATTCTTTTATCTATTATACTAAAACGATAAAGCTCTCCCCTACTCACCTACGATAATAAGATTAATTCGAATATCTTCTTATTAAATAAAAATAAGAATAATAAGAAATCTAAGTTTATTAATATCGCTAAAATTAATATAGCGACTTATTATTAACTAGCTCGTAAAAAAAGTAATAAGCTATTTATATTAATAATAAATAAGATCTATAACACGTTATCTATATTATATATATCTCCTCTTACTTAAATATCTCGCGAAACTTATATATCGATTAATAAACTATATTTCTATAATTTAGAAAAGAAATATAAGAAATATTATAATTCTAACTATTTTATTTAGATTAATAGCGTTAATAAGATTAATTTTAAAAAGATAAAACGTAAACTATTTATAAAGTATTATAACTATCTAAATATTTTCGATAGAACTAAGACGAATATACTTTTTCTATATTATTCTTATAATTATAAGCTTAAATTTAACGATAACTTTAATAAAACGAAACTTCTAAAAAATAGAATTTATTTAATATTAGAATATAAATTAAAATAGATAAAGAAGTATCTAAATAAATATCTAAAGAAGGAATTTATAATATTAAGCTATATATTATTCGCCTTATTTATTCTATTCGCGAAAAAGCTAAATAGAGAATTACGTTTTTATATAGATTATTAAAAGCTAAACGCTATTATTAAAAGAAATCGATACTTAATTTCATTAATAAATAAGATTTT